GTCACATTGTCTTGATTTAAAGACATCAAGTGGTGGAGAATCTACCACGTCCCTTGCTAATCTGTTCAAAGGATTAGTTGTCCTCACCTTTTGCACCTTATTTCTGGTCTGAACTTGTCTAGCTTCAGCTTCCAGCAACGGGAGCTTGTTCTGCCATTGTGAGACCTTCTTTCTCCCCGATTGGTGGGAGTAATGGAACTTCAAACAGTGGCATTTCAAAAGGGTTTCTGGTTCGATACCAATATTTCACACGTCTCTTTGGAATTGTCTTAGCAGGGTAAGAATTAATGCCTCTATTCAGAGACAAGTGGTGTGAGATGTGCAGTGACTAGTTAGAACCTCAGTTTTATGTCTCCAACAAAAAACGGCTGACCTGTGTGCCTACCCCACTGCCTCCAGCTGACCTGTGTGCCTACCCCACTAGGACATTGGCAAAAGGGCCACCTGTCAAATCACTAAAACCTCCTCCTGTAGCCCCTGGGATTTTTCTCGGACATATCCCATCCAAGTATTGCCCCATACTGATCTTGCTTAACGGGAAGTACCATAGAATGGGGGGGAAATCAGGATGATCAAGGGCTTCAGGGTTATGAGTGAGCAGAGGCTAGGAAGATTTGGCTTGCGTTTGTTAGAAGGTAGTGGCGGCTAAGAAATGAGGCAATTGCAGTGTGGTGACCATTCAGTGGAGTTTAAAGAAAGTGGATGCCAAAAACGTGCTGTGAAGGTACCAGATGCAAAATCTAGAGAGTATGCATGAAAGCCAAGAAAAGCCAGGTTGGTGCGGGAGCTCAGGAGAACTCGCTCTACAAAAAGAGTAATTAATGTAGGGAGAATAAGAGCATTCTGGGCCAGCTATTCAAAGGGATTTAGGCACCTAAAGATGCAGATAGGTGCCTTGCAGGATTTGCTAAAATGCCTGAGCAGATTAGGCACCTAACTCCAATGGAGTCTGAAAATCCCACAGGCATCTATCAGCATCCTTAGGCACTTAAATAACTTTGTGTAGATGTGACACTGCGCGCTTATACAGCACCTTCTGCCTGTGGATCTCCTCCTCAGAGGCCCAGCCCCAAGCATTTCCTGGAAGGTGCTGAAGGCCGTAAACTTCTATTGACTCTAATTATGTTGAGGGTACTCAGCTCTTCTAGGACAGGGTCCAAGTGCACCTCTGGACGACAACAGAGTTTTTTAGAAAGACAAACACTTGGAGGGAAGAAACCTGACCAGGTACAAGAGGCAGGTGGACAGCACCGGAGAGGCTGCATGTCCTCCTTTCACCCTGAAATACCACTTTGTTACATACAGCGACATTGACTAGACTCTGATTGCTGTGTACAGTGTGATCAATGAGCTATGGTGTTTGTTTTGCTGTTAGCAGGAGGTGCGCTAAGGTGCAAATTGTCAGAGATGGAGTATTGTACATTTACAACATTGATGGCGGGGGGAGTCATTCTCCAACAGAGCCACACGGGGACTGCAGGTAACTATGGCATTAAGAGGATTATGAGAGTGAATCCTCCCCCACCACCCCAAAAATCCATCAGCACCCTTCATCCTCCATTAAAATCCTCACAAAGGTCCTCCAGCAGCCACAAAACACACCTGGTTCCTTGCTGTGAGCTCAACCCCCACCTTCTTTGAAATGTAGTTAGTTAGAAACCACGGACACTTTGGGGGGGTCCAAAGTGGGAAGAGGTTGAGCACCACTGGAATACAGTCCAACAGATCTTAAAATAGCAGGAGACTTGCATCGTGTTTCCAGACAGGAAGAGACGTGCTAGCCAAACTGAACTGAGGCATCCAATGCACCTTTATTTATCTTGTGTAAATTTTATCTCCTCTTTTCCAGTTGTGTTGTGGAACAAGAGTGACACCTAGTGGTACGACTAGACGTTCATGAGTATACAACCTAGACAGGGTCTGATCCTGGGAATGAATACACACCTGTGTAGTCCCTCCCTGTGCACATGAGTAACCTTATTAACGTCACTGAAGGCTGCAGGGACTGTTCCGGTGGATGCAAATTGCTCATGTGGGTACGGCTTGCAGGGTCAGGCCCAGAATCTGGGCTATCCAAGGGTATTTGTTCTGTTTCCTAAGGGTAAAAGTGAATTTGACAGTGGTTCTGCTACCGTACTGTGCCTTCATTGCATAGTAGTCTAAATGGCAAGAGGAAAGTAAAAATGATAAATAATAGGCAACTACAGGATCATAAAAATAATACAAAGTTCTATAAATCTCCTGCCAAACTAAAATTTCTACTTTGATAAAATAATGAGGTAGATAAAAAAATGTGTGGAGTCCCTTGTATAGCTCTCCTATTTAATGTTTAGTATCTTATATCCAGAGCAAACATAATTGACTAAAAATATTTGACGGATGTAGACACCAGGAAAGGAGGGCATTCGTGAGGGGGGATTCGAGCAGTTACAGGATGACATTCAGGAAAGGAATGGTTACGCTGAATAAAACGGAAAACATTCTGACAGGGAGATATCTTACTCATGAAATATTCTCCTAAGGAAAGTGGCAGAAGCCGCATTGCATTTGATTCCTTCACATACCGCACAGTCAACCTGTGGAACTTATTACCAGGGGATGTTGTGAAGGCCAAAAGTATACTGGGTTCAAAAAAGAATTAGAGAAGTTCATGGAGGATTGGTCCATTAATGGTTATTAGGCAAGATGATCTGGGATCCAACCCCATGCTCTGAGTGTCCTTAGCCTCTGACTGCCAGAAGCTGGGAGTGGACAACGAGATGGATCACTCGACAATTGCCCTGTTCTGTTCGTTCCCTCTGAAGCATGTGGCATTGGCCACGGTCAGAAGACAAGATATTGAACTAGATTGACCATTAGTCTGACCCAGTATGGCTGTCCTAATTTAATTTAAACCTAATTTAAAATTAGGTTGGTTAAGCATTAGCAAATATAGTGCAGGGAAGCAACCTGCATGGGTAAGGCTTTCCAAGGATGCCCCTCACAAGATCTTCCATAAGGTGGGCATGTAGGAGCCGGACATGCCGTCCACTTCCAGGAGCTGCCTGAGGTAAGCACCGCCTGGCTGGAGCCCGCACCCCATACCCCCTCCCACACCCCAACCCTCTGCCCCAGCTCTGAGCCCTCTCCTGCATCCCAAACTCCTCATCCCCAGGCCCACCCCAGAGCCCACACCTCCAGCCGGAGCCCAACCCCCTGCCCCAGCCTTAAGCCCCCTCCTGCACCTCAAACTCCTCATCTCCAGCCCCACCCCGTGGCCCACACACTCAGCCAGAGCCCTCACCCCCTCCCGCACCCCAACCCCCTGCCCTAGCCCAGTGAAAGTGAGTGAGGGTGGCGGAGAGTGAGCGATGGAGGGAGGGGGAATGGAGTGAGCAGGGGCGGGGCTTCAGAGAAGGGGCAGGGCAGAGGCGGGGCCTCGGGGCAGGGTTGTTCAGTTTTGTGTAATTAGAAAGTTGGCAACCCTAGTTTAGTGTTTGGACTTTATGAAATACTTGGTAGGTTGCTGCATGCATTAATCTCATTTATTATATCTGTATCCTACATTATAAGGTAATAGTATTTGCTCTGTAACTATAGAAGTGTTTGCTATGAAACTGGAAAAGCTCAGAGTCAGGAGAGAGACATTACCAAGTTACTTCTTTATCACAAGAGGTGGTGTCTCCTGCCAAACAAAAGAAGGCCTATAAACATCAGACAAGCCATTGTGGGACATCATAGAACAAAAGACTTTGCTGATGGCTCCCCCCACACCCATGAAGAGGAGACATGCATGAACATTCATCCCAGCAGTTTGAACTCTAGGAGAAGGGACTAAAAATGCCTGACCAGAAGGAACTTTATCTCTATGTTGCTTGAACTCTGTGGGGCAAAGACATCTAAGCATAAGCAAGAGATTCCCCAGCAGGTTAGCCTGGGTTAGCCCTAAAGGACACATAGGGCTTGCTAACTATAGAAACTTTGAACTATAGAAACTATAGAATGTAAGACTGTAACTCATTTGTGTGTACGTTTACCTGCTTTAACCTTATAAATATCTCTCACTTCTTTCTTAGCCAATACATTTTTAGCTAGTTTAATATAGGAGTGGCTAGAAGCATTGTCTTCGGTTTGAGATCTACAGTGCAAGGGGGTAAGTGACTGGTCCTTTGGGACTGGGAGTAACCTGAATATTATTATGATGTTTGGTGTTAGGGACCATCCACCACAAAGGCAAGATAGGTCGGAGTACCCCAGGGGACGGTCTGGGACTGCATGCTGAGGCTGTCATCATGCCGAAGGCGTTCACACTTGCTGCTGGGTTGGTGAAATCAAAGTAGAGCTTGGCACAACCAATTTGGGGTTTGTGCCCTGCTGTTTCATGGTCTGCCCTGAGATTGGGACTCACGCTCGTGACCCACCCTGGGCTGGCAGACAGGAGACAGGACGAGAACAGCCAAAGGTTCCCACTAGTGACAAAGGATGAAGGGATCGTCCCCGCTAAGGGGGGGATCGCCCCCCGGAGCGGGGCTTTGGGGAAAGCCGTTGCTGAAGGCGGGTAGGGAACCCGCCTAGGAGACACCCAGGGAAGAGGGAGAACCACCAGAACCCCATTACAGCTGGTGTCCAGGCCACCCTCTGCCAGGACCCCACCCACACCCGGCCTGGGGCAGGCGTGGGGCCCTCCAGGCTGGGGTGCCCCTGATGCTGCCTAGGCCCATTGCTGCCCTGGACAGCTGCCCCCCACCCGCTGTCACTGAGGTGGGCACCATTGCAGGCAGCACCTTAGCCACTCCCTGCCCTGCCCGCCACGCTATTGGAACAGGCACCGAAGGGGCCACCCCGGATTTGGGGCCCTCACTCACAGCCCCCACCCCACACCCACACTTCCGGGATCGGAGGCGGAACGTACCAAGCCTCACTCGCCCGCCCCCGTGAGCTGAGTCGCTGTGGAACCGGCCGCGGCGTTCGGGAAGGAGGCTCGTGGCCTGAGGGGGCGTGGCCACGCCGAGGGGGGGGCAGTCACGTGGGAAGATGGACCCGGTGCTGTACGTGTTGGCCGCGGCGCTGCTCGCCGCTCTCATCGTCTTTGCCACCCGGTTCCGGGGCCAGGCGCAGGCAGGTAAGGGGGGGGGGAGTTCTCCCCCCGGTCCGCCCCTCATGGGGGCCTGTCCTCACCTCGGTCTGGCTCTCAGCCCGGGGGGCGGGGCAAGCTTGTTACCGGGGGAGCTGAGAGGAGCCGGGAGCCCCCCACCCCGGCTGCGTCCTCCGAGGGGCCCACCACATGCCTGGGCGGGCAGCCAGGCCCCTGGGGGGGACAGGGGCCCATGGGGGGGGCAGACGGGAGGGGGTAGCCAGGCCCCTGAGGGGAACAGGTGCCTTTGGGGGGAGGATGAGGGGGCCTGGCTCCCCTGCAGGCAGATGGGAGGGGGCAGCCAGGCCCCTGGGGGGGACAGGGGCCCATGGGGGGGCAGCCCCGCTGTGGGCAGATGGGAGGGGGCAGCCAGGCCCCTGGGGGGGACAGGTGCCTGTGGGGCAGGATGGGGGGCCCAGCCCCCGTGTGGGCAGACAGGAGGGGGCAGCCAGGCCCCGGCTCACTGACGGGGGGGAAACCTGGGGGCGGTAGAAGCTGGGGGCACAGGGGGGCAGTTGGGGTGAGCCAGTGCTCAGGTCCCCATGAGGACGGTGTAATGTGGCGTTTCCACAGCCTGCTGTGCTGTGACACTGTTGTGGGGGTGCGTTGCCTGGCACCTGGTTTATATCAACCATGGTGATGGGTGAAATGTGACTTTTTCTTTTTATTTTGGGGGGACAGCATTAGTGCTTCACTTCTTCACTCTCCATTTTATTAGTGTCATTGGTATTGCAATAGCAGCTGCAGGCCGTGCTCGGGAATAAAGCCCTGTTGCACCAGGTGCTGTGTACACACACACAGAACGAAGCTGGTTCCTGCCTCGAAGAGGTTATAGTCAGAGTAACTGCTGACTGTTTTCCGCAAGAATATGCAAAGAAAAAAAAGTCCTGGCTGGTCTTCTGCTATCAGGCTGGATGTATTGATTGAAATTGACTTTTGAGGGCATTTCTGCTTCCCCCTCTGTTAGGAACATAGCATTTCCCATGGCAGACACATTTACTGATCAGTTTCCTCAAATACCCTGCTTCAGCTGTTGATCATACTGGATGCTCCAGATCCTGAAGAAAGCAGAATCTGTTTTCCCCCAGTGAAGCACTGGGGCCCCAATGGTGAAATGCTCTTTGTGGGTATTCCTCATGCCCTGGACTGTGAGATTTGGTTATATGTGGAGTAGGGCAATTCCTCAGACTGTTAGAGAGCAATTCCCACCCCAGGTCCTCTCCTAGGAGATCTTGAACACAACCTAGAGAGTCTATAAAGAGAACAGAGTTCAAAGCCTTAAGTCTGGTCTACATTAGAAAATTAGGTTGACCAAGCTGACTCAATCAGGGATGTGAAAAATCCTCCTCTGAGTGGTGTAGTAAAGCCAACCAGTGTAGAGAGCATTAGGTCGACAGAATTCTTCCATCGTTCTAGCTACCGTCTCTCAGGGATGGGGATTACCTACTCCGAAGGGAGAAACGCTTCCATCGGCATAGGTAGTGTCTACACTGAAGCGCTGTAATGGCACAGCTGTGCCACTGTAGCATTTCAAGTGTAGACAGACCCTTAAGGTTTAACTTCACACACTCCCACACCCAGACTGGCCCCTGCTTTTGGCCTTGTCTATAGCAGGAAGTTTTAACAAAAATTTTCAGCTGTTGCTACCACCAGGTCAGCTTGATTGGTGGTAGCATTAGGGAAGATGAGATGCTGGTAGCTAGCAGTGTTTTAGGCACCATGTTATGCAGCCCTGCTCTGAGAAGGGTTTGGTGACACACCGCCTTAAAATGTCATTAGCGAAAGCCGAATGGAGCCATAAACTGTCCAGATCAGTGCATTTTAAAAGTGAAGGGAGAGGCTTCTTAATTATGAAGACCCAAGTTGAGGTCTATACTAGAGACTTTTGCCGGGATAGTAATGTTAGTTCGGGTGTGTAAGTGTCATTTTTCTGTCAACAAAAGCACTAGTGTAGAGGCAGTAACACCAGCATAAAAGTGCTCTGGCCGGTATAGCTTATGTCACTTGCCAAACTAGTATAAGCTATTCCAGCAACAGCACTTTTTTGATGGCATAAACTGTATCTACAACAGAAGGGTTTGCTGGTATGGCTGTACCTTTTCTAGTGTAGACCTGGCCTTAGCGTTTCTTCCACAGCAGCTCAGGACCTTGCTTGATACCTAAGGCAGAGCAGGCAGCTGCCTTGTCCCTACCTTAGATATTGACACATCGGTAACTCTTGCAGGAGAAATACCGCTTCCTGAACTCAAGACTTGCAAGCCAGGGTGAAGCAAGAACTGTATTTTGTCTTGGTTTTTTGGGGGGGGAGCGGGGGAGAGAGGAAGGGGGAACAACTTACTTACGTTGAAGCCCATGCATCTATTTATTAATGATCTGGGATCCCAAATAGCCTTTCTTTAAAAGGCGTTTTGTTTCAAATCAGTTTATATTCAGAATGTTTTAACTGTGTTGAAGCTTTTTTTTAATGGTATTTTGTGACACCACCTGACTTGTCTTTGTCCTCAGAAATGTTTTATTATTTAATTATTTATATTGACTTCTGTAGCCTCAAAGCACTTTACAGAATTGCAAACCTTGGGCTTGATCCTGGCCTCCTTGCACACCAAAAGGTTGTTTTCAAAACCACTGGGACTCCTGTGCATTTGATGGCAGGATGCAATCTGCCACAGAGGTCATTTCACTGCACTCTCTTCTTGGGTGGAAGGCAGCAGCTGTTACAATTGTGTTAGTAATTCTACATCCTGCTGTGAAAGGTGCTTTAGGCCAGGCGTCTTCAGCATGGGGGCTTGCAAATAGGTTTAGGGGGTTGTGATCACCTCACAAAGGGAGTTCTGTATCTCTGAATAGAGGTTCCACAACTTCTCTGATGTGATGAGAGGTCACAGTAAGGAAAAGAACAGCTGTTTTAGACAAGTGTGTAGCGAGAACAGGTGCTCAGTGTCACAGTTTCAGGGTAACTGCATCTATATTTCTTACTCTGTGGGTGCCCTTCATGCACTTAAAGGTTTCCAGCACCCAGCCATCACCTCTCATGGATGGAGACCTGTGTCTCACTTCCTTGTGAGTAGGGGTTTTAACGCTGCACAGCTCCCTGATCTACACTGTACTAACCCCAGCAAGCCAATCTGCCATCATCTCTGCTTTGCTTTCTCTCCGAGATATTGCCAGCAGTCACAAGTTACCACACTGCTCTTTCTAAGCAAGCATGTTTATTCATAAGTAAGGCTAAGGTTTAGTCATGGGCATTTTTAGTAAAAGACATGGACAGGTCACGGGCAATAAACAAAAATTCACAGTCCTGTGACCTGTCAATGACTTGTACTATATACCCCTGACTAAATCTTTGGTGTTCTGGGGGGCTCTAGGGGCGCAGCTGCTGCTCTGGAGGAGGGGCTCTGAGGCACCCGCTGATGGGGGGGGCTGGCTCTGGGGTGCCCACTGATGCTCGGGGTGGGGACCCTGGGGTGCCCACTAGTGCTAGGGGGGAGGCTCCGGGGCATCCGCTGTTGCTCGGGGGAGGGAGGGTGGCACGGGGCCACCACTGCTGGCGAGGGGACGGCCCCACCAGCCCAGGACTGCCGCGCTGCTGCTGGTGGGAGGCAGCTCAGGACTGTCCCTGTTACGAAGGTGGGGGGCGGTGCGGCTGGCCCTGGGGCTGCCCGAGATGCTCAAGTGACCCTGGGGTCAACCGCACCTGCCAGCTGCAGAAGTCACGGAATCCCAGAAAGTCATGGAATCAGTGACAGACTCTCAGCCTTATTCATAAGGGAAAAACATTACAGTGAATGTATATAAAAACTATAAAAGAACCTACATACATGCTAAAAAGGTCACTCCCACCCCACACCCCCGCTCCAACATAGGTGTCAGTCCTTCAAATCCCACAAGTGGGTTTTCCCTGTGGTTACAAGTTCTCATCAGTCTTTAAATCAGGCACCAGATTGAAGGCCCTGAGTCAGTTTAAGATCAGGCTGTTTATCTAGATGTTCGGATTTTTTATTTTTTTTATTTTTTTTCAATGTTGGTCTCTGAAGAATCCAGTTTAAAGCAGACTATGCACTTTCCCAGGAGGTGGTACCTCTCTGGAGGTGTTATAACTTGAATGATTTGCCTACTCATCCCTTTCCGTTTGCACTTCCTGCAAGAGCTGCGATAACCCTCCTCCCATGGAATGCGTACAGTCCCTAGCCCACAATGATCCATGCCCTTAATGCAATATGGTCTCCCAAAGATATTGCAGAAAGCTGCCCATCTGTCACAGTCAGGACCTTGACTTTGTGTCTCCTTGGAAGAGCAGTGCCTCCAGCAGCACAGTTTTATCCTGCTGGGACACTAGCGCAGTCCTACTGAGAGTAAAGAATGCTGCCTATTTATGAAAACCAGAAATTACCCTATATCACTTGCTAGTGTTTGGAAAATTGAAGCTTGGGAATGGGGGACCAAAGATCCCTTCTGGGCTATATCATTCTATCCATCAGAGATGGCGGACAGCGAGAAGCATCCTGCGGGTTTGCAGGATTTTTTTTTAAAGGGCATGAAAATTATGGGATATAGATGTCATTATAGGATGAGGACAGTTGCATGATGGGAACTTGTCTCCTAGCTCCCAGAATTCCCTGCGTGACTCATTTCTACCCCACAACACATTGGGCAAGTCTCCTAAAAGGCTTTGCACTGGAGAATGGCTTATGGCACACTGGGATACCTGTCTACCCCTGGTGCACCACACCTGTCATTGACACAGACACTCCTGGTGAGTACGCACAATGCCAGCACAAGGAGCCAAGTATGCGCATGAATGAGCGATCTACTAACTGCGGCGGCTCTGTGCCAACGTAACTGGTGTTAGACGGTTTGTAGTGCAGACATGTCCTTGTTCTGTATGCCAAGACTGCTATGCAGTGTCATACACCACATTGGTAAAACTATGTGTGCAACGTATGTATGGCTTTTTTTAATGGCACGCCTTCGGCCATGCTAATTTGTGCTACCAGCTCCTTGGATGTCACAAGCTGAGTTAGTTTGTGGATAGGAGAGAGAGGGTCTTGCAGGAAGTGGTGTGGGGATGGCTTATTTGAAACATACACTTCTACCTCGATATAACGCGACCCGATCTAAGACGAATTCGGATATAACGCGGTAAAGCAGTGCTCTGGGGGGGGCGGGGCGGGGATGCGCACTCCGATAGATCAAAGCAAGTTCGATATAACGTGATTTCACCTATAACACGGTAAGATTTTTTTGGCTCCCAAGGACCCTGTTATATCAAGGTAGAGGTGTATTTGTAAGGCAGTTGCTACAGTAGTGCTTATCGCTATGCAAATGTATAAATTAAAGCAGTAGATGGTGCTCTTTCGTCTGAGTCAGTACAAAGCTAGTGACCCAGGATACCAGTAGGGCAGTGTTGCAAAACTGTCACAAAAATCTGCCAGCCCAGGCACAATGTTGAATTGCCGGCTTACCAAGCTATTAAAGATGATAATGTTATATGAGGAGAGAACATATTTTACATGCTGATCAAAAAAATAAAAATTCTTTGCTGTGGGCAAGTAAAATTGTGTAAAGTTGAGTTAGGGAGCACTCTTGGAGGTACCTTATTTGAAATTAGATGTAAAACTGCCGCTCTAAGCGTTTTGGGACATAAAAGAAACCATGGCGCTCTGGGAGTGGGCGCCAGGGAATGGATCACTTGATGATTACCTGTTCTGTTCATTCCCTCTGTGGCACCGGCATTGGCCACTGTCGGAAGACAGGATACTGGGCTAGAAGCACTTTGGTTTTACCCAGTATGGCCATTCTTATGTACTATAACATTATAACCCCAATGCCTTTGCTAAATTCCAGTTTGGAAAACTGTTCTGCTTTCAGTGAGTGGTTTGTATTCTTCTTTCCTCGTTTAGTTTCGTATAGTGTTGCTTTGCATGTTATTTGCTGTGGAGCCAGGTGAAGTGATCCATATATAAACACTTCTGTTTTTAAACGGCTTTAGGCCCTTTTAGGGTTTCTTGTTTTGCCCATTCCGCTGGTGGTTTTCAGAATCCCAAATGAAGCTGATCTTGCCGCCCACACATAAGAAAATCCAGTTTCCCACTGAACCGAGGTGTGTGTCTGGATGTAGAAACACTGAGTCATAAAACTGGAGATATGGAAAACTTGAATAAAATTTAAACATGCACATCCAGGGTATCTCAGTTTTTCTGCTTTTTTGTTTCTTTGTTTTGGTGTTGTCCTTTAATTGGGGCAATTTGTTATGCATTATTATATTTTGCTCAGGGTTTATAGTGTGCTCTGTTCTGAACAAAGCTGGGATTGATAAGGCCCCATCTGGCCATCTAAATAGACAAGCAATACAGGTCAGTGACTCTGGGCATTTAGTGGCCATGAGAAACATTCGTTTTCTGTTTTGTTTTGTTTTTTTGTTTTTTTTAATACTGCTTTCTTTGCTGGATTAACACTGATAGATTTGGGGACTAGCCATGTGATTTGAGTCAAGGTGATGCGGTCACTGGGTTCACACATTTGTCCTTGTGAGGGCTGCAAGACGGGTTTGAAATGAACACACACTTTATAAATAGATTTATTTCTCATAAAATGTATAACGGTCTCTGCTTCTCAGGAATTGTGTTCTGGGTATTTTTTTTATTACACAAAATAAATGAGCACTAGAATTTCCCAACTGATGCGCTATGCGGGGATGTCTTTAAAATTTGACAGGCATGTTGAATCCGTTTAGATTAAAGGATACCAAGCCTTGAAGGGTGGGATGTTTTTTAAGAGGCTAAGAAATACCATATATGTATTTTGTATAGTGCCTCCATACGCACTGTATCCCAAAACACTTCTCAGAGTTTTTAATAATAGTTACAAAGCGCCATGATAAATATTTGTAGTATACTGTATTTCATTGAATTATTTTATAGCTCTCAGAAGCATGCTAGGCATGTCACAGAAGATAAGACACATTCCCTGCCCTAACGAGATTACTCTCAAAATTTTAGACATGATACAATAAACGAGGGTGCCAAACAGAAGGAGATGAATGAGTGAGGAGGATGAGGGTTACTGCCTGAGCATATGGCAGTGACTTCCTCAAGGATGTCGTAGTGAATATTATTCTCCTATGGTGGCACCACAATAGAAGTGAGTTTTTAGCCTGGGTTTCACAGAGGAGGCGGTAGTGACATGGCAGAGCAGTGTGTGGAGGGCATTCTGAGCTCAATCCTGCAAGCTACTGGCCACACTGGCCCCAAGCCAACCAAGAACTTATGCACATGCTTAACTTAAGCATGGGAGTAGTCCCCTCACATGCTTAAAGTTAAGACTTCAGTGAGACCATTCGCACGCTAAAGTGAACCATGTTCTTAAGTGCTTTGCTGGCTCGGGTCCAGAGTGCTCCATGCCTTTCAGGATGGAGCCCGCCACACGTAGGTGGCAGCATGCAGAAAGACATGGAGACGCTTAGGGGACAAGTGGATGAAGCAGGTCGTGAAGGGTGGCATTGCTGGAGCAGCAGAGGGGATGGGATGAGACGTGTGTCTGGATGAGTAGGTAGGGGTGGAATTATATAGGCGGCACAAGTATAAATTTGATGCTGTGGATGCTTGACAAATCAGCCAACAGGCCAATAGTCAGGGGACAGGAGGGTTGTGGGGGGACTGGAGAAAGCTGCATCACTCTGTTACATACTCTTCATCCGTGATTTGTAACCTTTATGAGTAGGTAGGTGGACTCAAGCATGGTTGTATCCTTGAAACATGATATAGGTAGCTTGTACCTCTTGCTAACTTTGATCCACCAGCACCCACTTCCGTACTTGTCTATTCTGAGGATAACTGAGCTGATGTCAGCATAGGATAATGAGGCAACACTGCATGCACAGATTGTGATCTGTAGTCCTTATTTGTCAACAGAGTTTTCCAGGTGCAGCAATAAGTGAAAAATACACACACACGTTTGCAGGTTTGAACAGGCCAGATGACGTCAGGTCTGAATAGCTGAAGTGCAAAAAAACAAAAAGATCTGAATCATCTGAAAGGAAGAAAAACACTTTTGGGTCCCACGTTCAGAAAGGACTGAACTGATTCTCCTACCAGATGCGAGGAGAAAAGAATATATATATTTTTAAAAAATCACTTATTGGGCTGAAATTCAGCACAAAGGGTCCTTTTTTTTTTTTTTTTTTTTCCCCTCCCCCCTGGAAAGTTCCAAGAGCCATGGGCCCATGATAGAATGATAGAGCCTCCTCATCTAGGGCTAGTTCATGGTCACAACAGTATTTGAAGTGCCTGTCCATAGACCCTTCTTATGCCATCTTCCACTCTATTAACAGTAGTGCCTAGAGACCACAGTCAACTTGGAGGGGCATTGTGTAAGGCACCCTCTCCCCCTCCCAAGGAGACTGTCCCTGCCCCTAAGAGACTAGAGTCTAAATAAACAAGACAGATAAGAATCATCCCTGTTTTACTGGTGGGGACCTGAGACCCAGAAGGCCAGGTTTTTAAAGGCATTTAGGGCCCCGATCCTCCAGGGTATTCTGACTCCTAACTTGCATTGATTTCAATGGACCTTAGGTGCCTAAATACCTAAAGGTGCAGAGAGGTGTCTGGTGGGATCAATGGGAGTTAGGAGCCTTAGGTGCTTTTGAAAATCCCCCTGGGCACCCAAGTGCCTTTAAAAATCTAACCCAGCAAGTTTAAGGGTGGGGTTTTCCAAATGCTGTGCTTGCCTACCTCCGGCATAGATTAATCATGTTGATTTAGATATAATTTGCCTATTGTTGTTTCTTCTCCTTTTCTCCCTATCTCTGCCTAATTGTCAGATCCTTGGGCCACCCTTCTTGAATGTCGGGGAAGAGCCAGCATGTAGTAGGTGCTACCATACAGAAACATCATCATCATAAGGGGGCGGCGGGAAGGAATGACGTTCTCTCTGTGTGAAAGAATCCTGATCTAAACATTGCAAACCATCCCAACTGCTAGTGTATCTCTAATTGCCGGCCAGCTAGCTCCTTTCACTCTTGCGATGGGCTGACTGCAACAGATCAATATTAAACCTCTGATTTAAAATGTTCCCCTTTTCCAGCTGACGAGGAACACCAGCGAAATGTGGCAGCCGTGGTGGCCAGGCCTCGGCCTCACACCGATGAGCGGGGAGAAGGGATGCCCAGACGCCGAAGGAACATGGGCAGCAGGATGCTGGCCCAGAGGAGAGCACAACAGGCAGAAGATGGGATGGAAGGTAACTTCTGATTCAGCTCCGCTTTTAAAAACGAATTGGGCTAGCAGATGATCTTGGTTTGGGTTAGGTACGAGGTAAGGTTCCCAGAATGTCCTCTCCATCTGCACTGACTGGAGACTGCATAGCCTGAAACTGACCTGACTTAGTGTCCTAATAATCTGAAGATAAATTTACACACGACTTCCTCCAGTGTGTTAGAGCTCATATCATATCATTTGCCCATCACTGAAATGCAGCTGCTTCTGTGATGGATTGTGGCAGCCGTTCTGTGCCAGCAATGCGACCCTGTTTCTAGGAGGAGGATGAAGAATACTGTTTTTTTTCTCCCTCAGTTTGAAACTACGAGGGGAAATTAGTAGAAAGGCAGAACATAGGTAACCAGGTTAGAATGTGACCACTTTCACCAGGGCTAACAGCTCGACCGTATCAAAAGTGCAAAGGCTTCTTAGGGTACAAACAGAATTGGTACCTTGGTGTTTAGATCCTGCCTCAGCACCACAAAGCATTGGTTTAGTGCTGTCTTAGGGGAAAGAACACCACCTACTAAATCACCAACTCCACTTCCTGCAGCATCTGGGTTTTCCTTGGTGGGCTCCCATCCAAATACTGATCAGAGCAGAAACAATCTGAAGCTAAGCAGGATCAGATTGGAACACTGTGAGGTGTGGTTGTAGGTCAGTGTGGACAGAGTCCCGTAATTTTGTTTTGCATCTTGAGTTAGTAACCACGTTATTCTAGTGTGGTTATGGTCAGGAAAGTGCCTATAAGTAACACCATTTTATTCCTGTAAATGCTGTTTGCTGACTTTTCTAGCCAAACTACCTTTTTGTCACTCCATACTCATTAGCTCTGCAGAGCCAGTACAGCTATGGGTGAATGAGTTGGATGCTTCTCTGGCTTGCAACATGAACAGCGTTGTTCACTGAGCTTGACTCTCCGATCCTAGGTTGAGTTTGTAGGGCTCCCATCCAAATGCTGGTCAGGGTAGACCCTGCTTTGCTTGAGATTGTAGCACTGGATGATACAGTATCGTACTGGGAGGAAGGGGAATCTTGTCATTGATAAACAGATCATGTTTGATTGGCAGTCAGTGAGAGATAACATGGCGCGGCATGATGCTTTGTCTTGGAGGGAATCACATTTTACCAGCTTTTATTTTCCTACTGTTTTTAGTAGATGTTTGCATTTGCTTTGGCAGGTAAATGTGCCATCTAAGCTAATTATATTTAGCTGTGTCACACATGGGAGATTGACAGGGTCTGAACTTTGCTGTTTCTTTTGATGTGCTGGCACACTTAAAAGACAGTGAAATCTAAAAGTCTTTTGATGTCTGAAGCCTGGACCACTCAGACTTTATCCTGAGGAGCCAAATGTGAAGCTATCAAAGCACAGCTGCTTATGTTAGTTTGCACTTTAGCAGTGGAAGAATACATGTCATCAGCCCATATAAATTCTTTTGTGGCTCAGTGCACATCAAAGGCAAGTGACTTAGCCCTTATATAAAGTTGTCTTTGTATTGACATCTGTTTACTTGTTTCTACAGTCTATATCCTATTAAGACAACTCCTTTTTTCCCTGGGTGTCCCTTCTCTCACCTCTATCTTGTGCTGCTGGTACTCTCTCCCGAGTACCTGAGCACTGACGCACAGTGCTAATGCCCCATAGAGAGAGCACAGGCACCGGAAACCATGCGGTGGCTGGACTTGCAACCACTTTTTGTGGACTTGCTGCTCTGTTCTGCGGGCTGCCTTTAGCTCAGTTGCAGGGCTGTAGGCATCCAGGATTTCAGTTGATGTGTGCTTAAAAATAAGCCGCTCCTCTGTCTCTTTTCTGTTTTGGACTTGTATTATGGTTCAGATGCTTTGGTCCGGCTGAGCTTTATTTTCAGTTGCCTGGTCCTGGGGCTGGTTCTGCGCTGGCCCGGTTCCTGACACAGGTTGAAGCAGACTTAAAACTAGTTACACCAGCTGCCAAAGTTCTCTTTCTCCCCAAATACTCCCTTATGTTGAGAGCTGAGAATGCATTGACATAGGAGTCGCTGCAGTCACCAGAGGATCCCCCTATGCAGGATGATCCTTCTGGGAGCAATATCGGATTTGTCCTAGGAGACTGGTACGAAGTAACGCCAGCAGACCTGAGATTTGGGCCTTGTGTAACTTTTGTTCAGACACTGGATGTGGGTCGTGAGGATTTTTTCCATCTTACAATTAAATTTCCTTGCTAGGATATGATCCCTTCGAGGGAAGAAGGGTGACCCTGTACTTTTGCTGACTCCACTGAGTTGCTGTATCACTTCAAGACTGAAGTCTTCTCCTGTAGAATAAGGGAAAAGATTAACTCAGAAGATTAAATCATCTGGTCTGACCTCCTGTATAACACAGGCTATGGAACTTCCTGAAATAACTCTTGTTTGAACTAGAGAATTCTATTTTTTTTTTAAGATAATCTTGATTTAAAAATTACCAATGACGGAGAGTCCACCATGACCCTTGGTAAATCCTTCCAATGACTGATTACCTTCACTGTTAAAAATGTGCACTTTATTTCCAGGCTAGCTTCACCAATCATTGGCTCTTGTTATATCTTTCTCTTCTCGATGGGAAGAGCTAATATCTGTTCCCCAGGTAGGTACTTATAGACTGTAATCAAGTCACCCCGTAACCTTCTGTTTGTTAAGCTAAAGAGATTGGGCTCCCTGGACTCTCACTATAAGGCATGTTTTCTAATAATTTAATTATTCTTGTGGCTCTTCTCTGAACGGTCTCCAATTTACCGTATGGTGCTAGGAACAGGATTCCTGTTGCTAGCTTCTAGTTGTCATTTCTTGATTCTTGTGTCCAGCCTGTTCAATTTGAATTTTAATCTCTCTGGGTGCTTATAGCAAGCTATTGAAATAAGTTAGATGAAGGCTTAATTTTATTTACTGGACCTGATATCTAGATATTGAGGGTGTGCGCGGGAGGAATAGTTAATAGAAAGAGAGATGGAAAATGATTATTTTGGGGGGGTGTAAAATACCCATCCTTAGCAAGTAAAGCTAAATCAAGTTGAAATCTCTTTTTGTGGCTGCTTCTTCCTGCAGTTGGGGTGGGTCAGAACATCTGAATAACTAGCAGATTGGCACAGAAAACAGGGCTGAAATGCCTCACGCCAACGGTTTCCCCACAGAGCCTTGACCCCCCGTGTGTAGGAGGGCTCCTTATTCAAGGGTTCCGTGTGGGCTGTGGCAGGTCATGCAGGCAGGCCTGTTAGCCAAGAGTCCCACGCGGGCTCCACCTGCTGAGTAAAATTGTCAGTGGTTAGTTGACTACTTAAAGAAGGTCATCTCTTCTGAGAGTAACCATGTCTATTCATAACCGGCTCGGATCAAAATGGTGGGACAGACTTCTGACAGAGTGATTCTCAAAATGAGTGAACCCAGTGAGCTAATTACTAACCTCCTTATTTCTAAATTGGCTTAGAAAATAGTCTTGGACTTGTAGGTGTTGCTCCTCCAGACCACGGTGGTGGTGGTGCTGCTGCTGCTGCTATTAATACTAGTTACATAGATCTACATGGTGCTGGACAAACAGATGACCAAGCTTGTGCTCTGGGGGGCTTTCAGTCTAAGTTAGGCATAACATAGCAAGATGGGAAACTGTTGGGGACCTTCCTGGGGCTGGCATTACAACAGTGAAGATAATGAATAAACTTATGGTTAGGTACTGAATGCTCCATGTTTATGTTTGAAATATTGATAAGTTGGGGGCATGGTAGAGTAGAGAGGAAGGATGGCCCAGTGGTGAGGGCACTAACTTAAGGCTTGGGAGACCTTGGTTCAATTCCATGCTCCACCACAGACCTCCTGTGTGAATTTGGGCCAGTCACTGAGTCTTTCTCTGCCTCATAAAGAACAAAGCTGGAATTTCAAATAAGACTGTGAGTTTGCAAGGCTCAGGGTGTGAGATTGCATGGCTCGGGAATGGCATTAGCTGAAACCAGCTTTGAAATCTCTTTAGTTGATTCAGGTGGAGGTGGCTTTTGCTGGCTCTGACTTTCACTGATTCACCAAAGCTCATATCTCTGGTGGAGTCTGATTGTTTTTAGAGTTTAATGGTTTTGCTGAAAGCTTTTATTCAGACATCAGATTGAGTGGCAGCCCTGTACTCAAGCTGGGTCTGCAAGCCCAGAGTAGTGGCTTGTCGCTGCTAAAATGCTCAGCAGTGAAGTAGTTAACTTTCTGGGCGCTTTAATTTTCTTTGGCAAGTTCAGAAAAATATCTAGCCTCCTATGAGTTTACTCAAACCTTCTGAGGCCTTGATTCTTAGTAAAATGACCAAAATCTCCCAAGAATGCACACACAACCATACAGCGCCTTGCACACTGGGGCTGGGCCCTCTGAGTGTTACAGCAATAAGATCATTCTTATTGTTTATGCCACAGGACCCTCTGCTTATCTGGAGAATAATTGCTGCTGTTTATTAATTGTGAGACAGTCACCTCAAATGAGATTAGAGCCTCATTGTGCTAGATGCTGTACAAACGTGTAGTGAAAGACGCTCCCTTCCCCAATCTAAACAGGCGAGCCAGACAAGGGTGAGAGGGAAAACAGGCACAGAGAGGTGAAATGACTTTTCCAGGGTTCACAGCAAGCCAGTGGCAGAGGTCTCCTGACTCTCACTCCAGTGCCCTAGCCCCAAAACCATGGAAAACATCAGCATTTGGGGAGCTATGGGCTCACCTCTCTGTGCTACTGTTTCTTTTGTCTGTCTGCAGACTCAGGAAGACAAAACTCAGTTTGCATTGGGTCACATCTGGAAAGTTATCCTTGTGCCTCTCTACCTGTAATCAACTCTGCAGAAACCAGTAGAGCCCCCAGAGAAATGCTGGCACAGCAAGGCGTGCCACTGAGCACCAGGACAATGTAGCTTTTCAAATATAAGGAAATAAAAATCCCAATTTAAACATAGCAGATTAAAAGGTAATAGTTGACATGCAGCTCCTTTACTTACCTCCTGAGACCTGGAGCTCAGCATGGTATGCTTCCCCCAGAAAGTATCAAATGCTTAAAGCTTGCTGGACGATTTAGCTGCTTAGTTGTCAACTGCTGCAGGAAGAACACAGAAACTGCAACTTGGGGCCCTTACAGTGTCTTTGTTTGTTTTTAAATCAGTTTGTCTTTTAAAATGCACAGGACTGATTTGTGTAGCATTTAAATCTGCAGCTGTTCATAATTTTGACATCTGAAACAGTGCCGACATAAAATTCATCTTGAATAATGCTGTGCTTTGAATTTATTTTAAATCCTATTATTGTTTTGTAATGCTCATTAAATAGTGGATCCTATGTACACCTTTATGGGATGACTAAATTTATTCTAAGGTGGTAAATTGGGAAGTTGTGCACTATTTTACTTGGCAAGTCAACCTGCAGTGAATCGCTGACCATTTTTAAATCAAGATTGGATGTTTTTCTAAAAGATCTGCGCTAGGAATTATTTTGGGGCGGTTCTCTGGCCTGTGTAATGCAGGAGGTCAAACTAGATGACCATTGTCAATGGTCCCTTCTGGCCTAGGAATCTATCAATCTGCCTGACTACTAACTAATAAATACTTCTCACAATAGTGCCATGCATCACGGATACCTACCTACATTGTGAGGCATCGTTAACGTTTATAGAACAAATAAGGTGACCAGATAGCAAGTGTGAAAAATCGGAATGGGGGTGGAGGGTAATAGGAACCTATATAAGAAAAAGCCCCAAATATTGGGACTGTCCCTATAAAATCGGGACATCTGGTCACCCTACTCACAAACTCCTGTGAGGCAGGAACTGTTTAGAGCTCTATTAATAGATGTAGTCATTGGACTGCTCTTCTAATTTAAGTGAAATAAAACACCATAAAACCTCTTCGGTGCACAATTAAACTTTGTACTGTGCTTTCCATGACTACCATATTCTTCATTAGAAAAGCACCTGTAAATAGTACACGTTTTGACCTGAATTTGTCATCGGGCTGCATTTTTATAGCAATCTAGATTTTCTTGACATCAGTAAATAAAGTGACGTGGTTTAGCACTGGCCATCTTTGCCCTTGAGACATTTCAAGCCCAGACATGAGCGAAGGAGGTAAGTGTGTGTGGTTTCTCAGTTATATCATATGCGCTTGTTCAGAAAAGGAATTTCAAGTGGTTCGACCCCTTCTCGAAGGAGCCTGTGGCCTTTACATACTGCACTTGGCTGTCATCAGCGTAGGCTGGTTTTGTGGCTGCAGATTAATAGGCCAGCATCTTGTTTGAGTCCTAAAATGGCTCACTGATAAATCTTTTCACTTAAAAAAAAAAAAGGCGGCTTGCATGACTGTCATGTTAGTCATCTTATTGCCCATGCTTTTCTGTATGGTGGATTGATTTGTCCCTGTCAGTGGCCATGTGTAACAAAGATTCCGATGTAATCAGGGTTGGATGGATTTCTGAAGGCAATATCTTAGTTGCTTCATGTGTTCATTATCATTTGTATTGCAGTTGTTTCTGGGAGCCCCAGTCACGGATCAGGGTCCCATTGTGCTAGGCACTGTACAAATACATAACAAAAAGATGGCCCCCTACTCTTCACTGATAGTCTAAGTAGTCAGAAGTGAAGCTGTGAGGCTGGATTCTGCTTCAGGATTCACCAATATAAAACAGTTTACTTCAGTGGACTTACCATTTACATTAGTGAAACAGAGCAGAATTTGGTCCCTAATCTACAAACCCAGAGCCCAACAGCAAAAAACAGTTGTTAGAGGAATACAAAGAAGTGCTGATGATTCTCTCACTAAGTGCATCTGGTTTCAGAGTAGCAGCCGTGTTAGTCTGTATCCGCAAAAAGAACAGGAGTACTTGTGGCACCTTAGAGACTAACAAATTTATTAGAGCATAAGCTTTCGTGGGCTACAACCCACTTCTTCAGATGCAAGTGCATCTGAATGCTGATGACTGTATTACTAAAAGGCTATTTGAAAAAGGGGCATATCTACAGTGTGTGTAGATTAAATGCAAAAAAACCCAACAACCCACAACCCCAAACCAAAAATGATCAAGAAACATTCTTAAAATTTTGCCTGTACATCTGGGAAGTTCAAAAATGTGTGACTCCTACATCAGCAATAACCTCTGTCCCCCTTGCGCACAAACACCTTTATTGTCTGTTGCTGTACGTGCCTGAATAGGTGCAGTGTGACTAAGCTGTAGTGCTGTGATGGTAATAGCTGTGTGTGAAATCTCAAACACGATGCTACATTGAACATCTATTCTACCACTTTAATGATGAAGGCTGTAACTCAGCAAAGTACTTCAGCATGTACTTAAGTCCTATTAAGCACATACTTGGGCACGTTGTTAGCTTGAAGCGCTTTGCTGAATCATGGGCCCAACAAAAATGTCTAAAGAGAGACGTGGTGCATTTCTAGCAACTGCACATTCAAAGAAATGTGCTGATGTCTTGAGGAAGTGGGTCTTGTGGGATCTCATCAGACACTTCATACTGGGGGGAGGAAAATGTTAATGGTCAGAGGTCAGGGACTTATTTTTGTCAGTCCCCGACAAGTGTTTAAACAGCATCTTCTCTGTCATACATCACTAAACAACTAACATGAACATAGAAAGCATACTCACAATTAACAATTTTGTATATACTTTACCTCAATACTACTATTCCTCTAGACTCCAAATGAGAATTTCAGTTAGACTTCTTAACCAGGATAAAAATTTACTCTCTTGCTAGACTGAGAGCCAAACCCGGGTACAAATATCCCGGATGCAGACAAGCCCTGAGGAGCCAGTAAGAAATTTAGATCTGATGACACTATGCAAGCCTTTTAGGGCAGGGACTGTGTTTTCTTATTTGCTTCTGGAAAGCACCAGCCATGCATGTGGTGACTCCTAGAGAATTGTGAATTAGAAGGGTGTAATTCCATCCAGGGCGTCTGGTGATGCGTCGCTGACTTTGATATTGCCACGTGATCCAGAGTCAAATTATTTTCACACTTTGCAGCAGCTTCTGAAATGTTACTATGTAAAATATGAGTGGGCTTTGTGCTTTCTGTGTGGGGGAGGGAGGGGGAACCCTTCTGAACATCTGGCTAGTACGATTTCACTCTTACTGAAACCTGGGCTGAGAAGTCTGCCTCGTGTTTATTTCCTTCCAGAGCGAGCGAACAGGGGTATAGTTTGAGAACAATTTGCAGAAAAGAAATCTAATAGAGAAGGCGTCTACTTTCAGTAGTCTGTCTATAGTAGTATGTGTTTCAGTTTGTGAAACGGGCTGTCTCTAACATGCCGTGGGATACACATTCAAAACCGAATCCTGTCAAAGGAGAAGGGTACCCGATCCCTCAGCCACCCAAACATCCCCTCTAGCAATGCCTGAGGAAATCTGGGCCTTGCCCCATGCCCTAAAGGCCCGCAGACTTCGGCTCTGTCAGACCGGGAAGTAAATTCCATGGGGGAAAAGGGTCCCTCATTGAAAACACACTGCAATCAAAACCCTTCACGTTTCAGTGTAGTGACTGTCATAATATTGCCAATTCCAAGTATTCAAAAATCTTGAGTTGGGTCCCAAAAGTTATGATTATATATAAAATCCCCTGGGCTTTTTTTTTTTTTTTTTAAGATGGAAGTGTTCTGGTTTCTGAGCCATCAGGATGCACTTGGGTGATGTTTTGGGGAGCGGTTTTTCCCCTGCAACCATGTAGGCTAGAAACTTTTTAAAATGAAAACTGAGATGACTCTGGGAACTTGGGCTTTATTTAAAAAAATAAAACATTAAAGCAAATATTGCAAGACTGGAAGCAAAATTACAAGGGTTGACAACACTGTGGCTCAAGCAGTGTAGATTACTGATGGATAGAAAACCTCTAAATGCCATCTTTAAAATTTACATAATTGTTGCACTAGGCTTGAAGGTAACAGGAAAACAAAATCCCTACAGCTAGGTGTTAAATTGTAAAACTAAGTGTGTGTGATACGTGACTTTGTTCATATGTAATGAAAATTACGTTTAACGGTGGAAAGCAGGAAATGTTGATGATAAACAGCCTTTCTTCAAAGGATCCAGTAAAGTTTACCTCTGACTTCACCATACATGTGCCTACCGTGTAAATCTATTCTGTGGTTTGGCAGCCTCGTGTGAATGTCTTTCCCCCCCTTTTTATTGGATCTTGTCAGACCTTTGGCTGTCTTCTCATCTGCAGCTCATCTCTCTTCAGAAGCAGGGAATCCAACTTCCTGAGAGCTCTAAATGTTCTTTGTCCCTTTCTAATGCAATGTTGCAGAGGAAGATGATGGAGATGAGGCTGCAGAATTTCAGTCGTCTGGGAAAATCGGAGCAAAGAAACAGAGGAAACTAGAAGAGAAACAAGCCAGAAAAGCCCAGAGAGAGGTGAGTGTTTCCTGCTATGTTTAAAGCACAAAGCAAAGGGCAGGTGATAGCTGACCTAGAGAAGACAGGAGTTGTTCTTTGGTCACAAAAGCTGAGAGTTTTATCAAAAAAATACCCGCTGTGTCTCGGAAGCCCAGTCCCCTCTTCCCCCCCCCAAATCCATCATCTGGAGTTCTGGAAGAGCGGCTGACATCTGTGATTGCACATTTTGTATTGGCCCGTTGACAACAATGACCATTTCCACTAGTCTGAGTCTCACGTCCCCTTACTTAGGCATTCCCAGCCCAAATTATATCAGTTTTGCTGTGCAGAAGTTTCTGTGCCCCAAGCATAGTACAAAATGAATTGAAATGTAAGACGACCCTCTCTGTGGTGCCCGTCCCTGCAGCACCACACAAGGAACCTTGCGGGCTGGCAGGCTGTTTCCAAAACCCCCGAAAAGGGAGCATAGGGCTTGCCCTTACTACAGCCTCAAGTCTGTAGTAGCAGTTAGGAATGTCTGTGCAGTGCTCCATGCTCACCTGTAGGGGGAGGGTTCCCCTTCCTACACCAACCACTGCGCTGGTTCTCCATGCACAGCCTTGTCCACTTGTTCCTTGGGGATTGGATGAGAATTTGGTGACATAAGCAAGATATGTCCTTGCAAAGCCCATTGAAGTGTGTAGGAGCTGAGCATTCAGTCCTTAGGCCAGAATTCAGCAGAGAGCAAACAAAAAACCTAGAAACCAGACATCTCTTTGCTATGAATATTCATCCGTTTCCTAAATTCTAGCCGGGGCGGGTTGGGTCACAGAAACTCCCTTGGGATCTGCCATCTGTGTGCTGGGACTACCTCTGAGCCCGTTTTCCCTGGCAGCTTGGGACTTCAGTACCTTGCCCTGTTTGAGCCAGACACACTTGCCTGCTGCAAACACAGATCCAAGTCTGAACCACATCCCCCACAAGCTGCAGGCTTAACTGAAAACAGCTTGAGAAGTGCTCCTGTCTCCAGCACTCAGATACCCAGCTCCCAATAGGGTCCAAACCCCAAATAAATCTGTTTTACTTTATACAGCTTTATACAAAGTAAACTCATAAATTGTTCGCCCTCTAACACTGATAGAGAGAGATGCACAGCTGTTTGCCCTTCCCACCCTACCCCCCGGTATTAATACTTACTCTGGGTTAATTAATAAGTAAAAGTGATTTTATTAAATGTAAAAAGTAGGATTTAAGTGGTTCCAAGTAAACAGAACAAAGTGAATTACCAAGCAAAATAAAACAAAAACACGCAAGTCTAAACCTAATACAGTAAGAAACTAAATGCAGGTAAATCTCACCCTCAGAGATGTTCCAATAAGCTTCTTTTACAGACTAGCCTTCCTCCTAGTCTGGGTCCAGCAACCACTCACACCTCCATAGTTACTGTCCTTTGTTCCAGTTTCTTTCAGGCATCTCTTTGGGGTGGAGAGGCTATCTCCTGAGCCAGCTGAAGACCAAATGAAGGGGTTCCCCAGGGGCTTATATAGTCTCTGTCTTGTGAGTGGAGACCCCTCTCTCCCTCTGTGTAGAATCACAGCTACAAGATGGAGTTTTGGAGTCACATGGGCAAGTCACATGTCCATGCATGACTCAGTTCTCTATAGGAAGTTCCCAAGAAAGCCCAGATGTGGATTGACGTCTATCAAGGTCCATTGTTAGCCAAGTACTTCCATTTACTTGAATAACCCCTTCACGCTATGTTGACCAAATCTTCCTTAGGTGCTTTCTACAGCAAACACTTTAAATACAAGCATAGAGCCAATGCTCATAACTTCAGATATAAAAATGATACATGCATACGAATAGGATGAATACATGCAGATGAACATAACCTTTGCAAATATGTTACATGGCATATCTAGCATAAAACATATTCCAGTTATGTCATATCTACACTCATAAGCATATTTCTATAAAGCATTATGGGGTGCAACGTCACACTAGCTCTGCATATTAAATTACCAGTTGAAACACTCTGGATTTTTCAGTTGCACTTGTTTAACTGCTGTAAGTCTAGGGGTAACTAATCAGCAACAGCAAACCCTCCTAAAGCACATTAGTATGACTCAAGTTTTTATACGTTAATTTCTTTTTCCTGTTCTACTTTACTGGCCTGCAATCTCTGTAACCTGGAGTATGGTTTGCAAAAACTTGATGTAACTGCAACAGACTTTTGCGTAACAGAAAAGACGCTCGCCACAGTACAGAGTGAGCAAAGTAATAATAAGAGAGTTAAACAAGTCTGTTGAGCTGAAATTGACCTCTGCACAGGATCAACACACAGCCACTCAAATACCACATAAGCCCTGCTTTAAAAAATAAAGTGGTGCCCAGATCTTACACTCAAGGATTAAATTTACCTCAGCTTGCTGTGGTGATAAGTCCTATAGATAGCATATATCGTAGCAAATACTACATGATTCTGTATAGTCTTCCATTACCATCCTGTCTTCCCTTGCTCATAACTTTAACCATTTTTGGTTTTTACTTTCCAAGCTTGATCTTTTATGGAAAGTTTGAGCAAAATCAATTAAGTTACTTCGGAATTAGATCCGTGGTTTTCAACCTGTGGTCCACAGACCCCAGGGGACCCACAGACTAAGATTTCCAAAGGGGTCTGCACCTCCATTTGAAAATTTTTAGGGGTCCGCAAATGAAAAAAGGTTGGAAACCACGGAGTTAAATAAAGGGTGGGGGAGGGCAGAGGAGAGATCCTTTGTTCCATGTTCAAACAAGCTGATTTTCTTTCTTTTTTTTTTTTTTCCACGCAGATAACTCAAAACACCTGACAGTTAAACTGAAACGTTCCAGGTGGCCCATTGTCAGTGAGAATGAGTCTCCTGGCTATTTAATTTAAAAAACACAGATTAGATCAAGTATTTTTTGGAATGGGGAGAAAGGGAAAATAATAAAGAAATATCAAGATATTTTAAACAATAGTCTAAACCATCCATTTTGAATTATTTTTTTTCTCCTTGGAACAATTCGTGTGTATTGGGTATAGGGGCTGGTTATTTTGCAGGGGGGTGTTCTTGTGTTTTAAGTTAAATTTAATCTTCCTAATAGTAAGATTTCCATTCTCTATCTAGGAGAGCAATTTTTCCATTTTTAACTGTAAAATAATTTAAATGTGCTTTCATTGTATGAATCCTTTAAAGGATGCCATTCAGATTAATAAGAACAAAATTCAAGGTACATTATAAAACATAAAAATTTTACATTTGCAGTTTGTTTTTTTTAGATTTAAAGTGGAGGGAAAAGTCAATGGTTTCATCACAGTATTCAATAGCAAAGCTACAAAAACAAGCTAATACATGCATTCAGTGGAGGTGAAAACTTCGACAAGGAAACTGATATTTTAAATCTCCGTAGGGATCATTTATAAACTGAGTGGCAATACTAAAATTCGAAACAAACGGAAAACCCTGATGATGATGACAAACTAAAATAGCTTCTCTTTTTAAAAATATCAGTTGTGTATTTCTGGACACAAGAGTCCAGGAAACTGATGAGAGATAACTGATGCTCGTAAATTATGAAACCAAAGATTGAGAGAGAATAATTTATTGCCGTTTGTTTTTTTTTAGGCTGAAGAAGTAGAGCGTGAGGAACGGAAAAAACTCGAGTCAAAGAGAGAGGAGGAAAGGCGGAAAGAAGAGGAGAGATTACGCCTTGAAGAAGAAAGACAGGTGGGACTCGACTGAGTTTGCAGATGGAAATTCTAAAGCAAATTTTGCCCTTTGTTACATCTTCAGTACAAAGAGGGCTGTATGCAACCTTCAACTGAGCTGAAATCCCTGCTAGTGTTAGGCACTATCAGACAAGCCTGTGACTTTTGTTGCGTTATTATTTGTATTATGATAGTGCCTAGAGGTCCCACCAAAATCAGAGTCCTGTTGTATTAAATGCTTGACAGACACAGTCCTTGCTCTCACAAGCTTATCGTCGAAGTAGACAAGACAGACAAAGGGGAAGTGATTACGCCCCGAGGTCACACAGCCGGTCAGTGGCTAGAACTCTCATCTTCTGATTCCCAGTCCAGTTGTCTGTCCACTACTCCACACCGGCTCCTTTTGTGTTATAACTTTGCCATTAAAGAGTTGTCTGGTCAATTTGCTGTAACAGTGAATGCTGACTTAGACAGCCATCCAAGGGACCGACAGGAAAATGCTTGGCCACGGAGTATACTTAATGAAAGAGATCCTATCAAATTATAATGGGAACTTTGGTGAGGTACTCCAGATTGGTCTCTTAGGGGAGGGGGCTGGTTATCAGAAAGGCTTCTTAGCCCAGCATTCACTGTAACTTTAAATCCATGTCGTGTAGGGAGTGACAGACTCACCAAAGCTGGCAGGCTAGACTGCAGCAGCACCTCCTGAGGCATTGCAGTGTGAATACTTACTTTGGAAATCTTTAAAAATGAATATTGGTGGGTGAAGCAAAAGCGATTAGGAAAAGCAGATACTGGGCATACATCAAAGCCTCTGTTAAAGTATCCCTTCAGCTAGGGGGCTGGAAGGCAGGCAGTTCTTCTGAGGCTTCTCTGAGCAGCAAGGACCACTCTGGTGACAGCTAGTGGCTAAGAACAAGCTTCATATTCTCTCAGGCACTTTAGCAAGCTGTACAGAGGCTTTAGGGCATGCGTCCAGGGGTGAGTCTCTATCAGATGTCATGCAGCATCATGCGTTGCATTCGCACCTACCAAAGGAGCCAGAATACCCTCTGAGTTAATCGACTGGCATACTGGGACGAGGATGCTGATTTGTGTCTGACTGCTTGCAGTAAGCCAGTTTATTTTAGTTGCTCAAAATAGGGGTTGTGTATGTTGATATCAGAAAAGATGAGTCACTTTGCCTTTTAACATGCTGGGTTGAATGCACAGAATATAGCGTGTGGGAAGTCTTATAAAAAAGTGTTAGTTTCCTTATGTAAAGTTTGGGAAAACTAACAGAGGGCTCCTAAAATGCCCTTTTTTCTGCCTAAACAAAATGTTTCTGCTCTGGTTATCCATTGAAAAATTCCTTCCTCGCTTCTGAGCTACTCTGATGTGCCGGTACATCAGTGGAAAGCTTCTCGGCTGTTACTTTTTTATTAATGATGAGAGCGTCATCCAGAGTTATTGTAGCAGGGATTAAGAAAGCAAAAAACCAAGTGTTTTGGAAGGGTGCATATATACCCTTGTACTTCAGGGAATAAACAACCTCTAACTCACGGGGCTCAGGAAGAAACATTCTCGGTGAGCAGGTTATCCAATAACCTCCCACTCCACAGTTTCTTGCACCTTCCTTGGAAACAGGTGATACTGGTCACTGACAGAGATGTGACACTGGACTAGACAGAGCATTGGTCTGATTCAAACAAAACCACCTGATTTCAAAATCCGTCAACAAACGCAACCACCGCAGCAGGTGGATTTCTTACCAGGAAGGCAGTTTGCTCAGTATGTGCACGCTGTCTGAGAACAAGCTTCCTTAGCGAGGACAGAGGTGGTGGCAAAGGGTATGTTGCAAAGTGATGTTTTCCTATGGCTTCCTTCGCTCCCGGTGGCAATACCTTTAACTGGTATTAGCATGAAAGCTGCTTAATAGAGGCCAGTCAACCAGTGTTGAGGAGCTGAGTGGTAGGTGTGTGTGGAACTTTACACAATGATCTCTTCACATAGACTTTGCCACATTAAAAGGAAAAGACCAAAGCAGTCTTTGCAAAATTCTACTCACCCAAAGTGAATCAAATACCATTATTATTATTTTTTTCATTGTCATTTTGTTCATGGTTAAGTGAGAGGGAAAAGATTTTTGTGTCTGGACTGGGGTGGTTTTTGTGGCAGCTTTGCAAGGCTGGGGGAAAAGAAGATGAATAAAGACTCTCAGGCTCCTGAAAATCCCAGCCTAAACAGAACTACTATGGTTTTAGTCATGTATTATTTAGAACAGTATCTTAATGGATCCTTTCAGCGCTTTCCTTCAATAGTCTTGTAACTTTAGTGGGGACAACAGGTCTACCCACTAGGCTGGCGCGTCAAGGGTATTCTACTCCCTTATGAAACTCTCGCACAGGTTTTAAGCAAATGAATTCCATTTCATATGAGAGAGTACAGGAGCCAAATAACCACCAAATGCTCTGGACTCATCCACAAAGCAAGCTACTCTGGCGATATGTAGCCCATGAGTTGAGCTGGACATCTGTTATAGTAGATGCTCTTCCCATTTGACTCTTCTCTGAATCTTTAACAGGAAGTGGGACCATTCTAGCGCCCCACCTTTTTACCCAAGAGCTAGGCTTGTTAATCAAAAGCTCCTGCTCCAGTCAGTGGACAGAGTAGCGTTTACAGGGAGGATCACAGTAACAGGAATTTAACCTGTTAGTATAGGAGAGTGTAAGATGCTGGCTTCCTCACCAGCCTGAGGAATTATCACCCACGCCACGCTAGTCTTCAGCTCTTGGTTCTGGGCTCCACTTATTGTCCAAATGGCCACAGACTCTCAAAAGGCAAACAAACCCCCCAGCTGGGTCTTTCTACCCAGCCGTGATGCCCAGGGCTTACCACCTGGAGTCTTCCTCCCTCAGGGACTGCTGCCGGAGGCTGTTGCTTCCTGCAGTCCCCCCTCAAGGGAGCCGATTGCTAGCCTTTATAGTCACCAACTCCCTTCACAGCTGAGTCTGATAATTGACCAGGCCAGGCTGGCCCTTAAAGGGGCGGGTCCACCCTTTTACAGCGAGAATAAAAGGGGTTAACAAAGTGGGTAACTGTATACCCACGTGCACATGTTGTGCTAACAGAGAGAGGTGTTCCCTGCACAACACTGTTGCTTTCGAGTCCTTTTACAGACTTGGCCTATGACATCAAAGGTCAAAATATTAACCTGTTTGACCCCTTTATCTTTCACAAGGGCCAAGGAGAGATGATGCTCTTTGCAGACTGCCTAAGCTAGAATGTGCCATTCGTACTTCCCTTTTATTTAAAAAAAGGGGGGGGGAACCCTTAAATTATTGCTTACCAGAAACTTAATGTCTAAAACCAATTCTTGTGGGCAGCACACACACATCAATTAGAAAATGGAAAGGCCAAATTACTAAAGGTTTATGCAACCAGAGATTGATTAGTCATGAGTTAAAAAAGCGGGAGAGGGCAGTTACGGAGCTTTGTATCTCCAGCTCTGCATTCAGTTTGAGGCAGGTGCTCTTGGTACTGCCGCTTCTGTTGCAGAGTCATAATCCCACAAAGCACAGTGAATTCAGAATTAGGAGTTTAGCCTGATGTTCTGATCCTTGCCTCAGATCCATCCAGTTACTCCTGCAATTCAAGGTAGCTCAGCCATCTGCCCCTAGGGTTTTTGTGTTTTTCTTCTCATCGATTTCAGGGAAGATGTTTAGGAGCAGGGATGAAGGCAAGTAGCAGAGTCATGGATGTGAAAGGTGGTGGTGGTGTTGGGGCGGGTATTTTGTACATAGTGTTAATAACTGTTTCGTGTAATATAAATTCTAACATATGAACCCACTATTTTTTCCACATGGACATTGTCCATGCCATAGGAGCACCATGGTTTATACATGCAAGAGAAGTTATTTAAAGACTATTTTCCAAAGGAATTAACAAACGAGCAGTAAAACTCAGTGAGCTAGTTGAGTTACCCTAAGAATTTCTTCCTTTTGTGGGCATCTTATAGAGAGCTACCAAGAAAGATTTCCTTTCCATAAGAGTTGACATTCACTTTCTGTAGGGGATGCTGGTCTTTCTGCGTGCCTAGACAAGTTAGCAACACCCAAAACGAACAGCTAGATTCTCTCCAGTGATCCAGACAGTTTGATGGCCCAGGAAAGTTTATCAAAAGTTAGGGTGATTCCTGATTGGGTTACTGTAGTTACAATTTACAAAATCCAGTAACTGGATTTACTTGATGATAGACGCCCTTCAAAGTATTCACTTATAATCTCATCTTGTCTATTAACCCACTACTCTGAGTGGTTTGAGACAGGCAGTTTAATGAAAATTGAGAATCTTAAAGACAAGTGAAATCCCAGAATCGCTCTGATTTACCTTTTGTAGGCGGATGGATAAATGGCGTCCATTTCTTCTGGGTAACTTTTTTCACAGCATTGCATAAAGCTTAGCTGTAAACGGAAACTGCTCTTTAATAGGAGTCGTGGGCACTAAAATCTCAAACTTTGTGAGAAAATGAGCTGGCTGGTGCTATTTTAAATGTAATTATTCATATATATAAAAATAAAATGTGGTTGCCCCTTAGCTGCAATGTTGCAAACTAGAGAATATATTTTTAAATTTTATAAGTTTCCTTTCCAGTGTTCTGGTGACCTGATTGGCTCCGTCTGTGAAGAAGCTCCTTTATGATTGGTATTGGCTTCAGCAGTGCCTTACCCTGGGGATTTCCCTTTTACTCTTGGAGTTTTTTGGTGGTGAAATGGTTTACCGACCGACACCTTATCAATGAGAACTAACTTCCTCTGATGTTGCAAAACAGCGCCCTTCGTGAGCAATCTGCAAAGCTTTTGTGTAAAGAGCTTGTGTTTCTGTGCACAGGGATTTTGTATGTTTTGCTCCCTACAGCACCAGCAAATCTACAGTCGTTTGAAAAATTGCATACAGCGTGTGTGACTGAGACAGACATGTAACTCCATGCCTGTCCTGTAACGAAATATTATATTGGAACAGGATGTACTGCCTGAAAGC